GTGTTTTGACATACGGGCTTACAGTACATCTTTATATGTAATTTCAGAATGACTTCTATTGGTTAAGTAAGTGTATTGGCGAATGTACAGACAAGCATTTATGATAAACTAAAATATACGTACATCATGAAGTCGCAATTTAATACATCTAAAATAAATATATTCTTTTAATGTAATATTAAATAACACTACAGTTAAAAAGAAAGAAAGAAAGGATCACATGTGAAAGAAGACATCACATTCTGAAGATCTTCCTGACGATCACTGAAAAAAAGTCTAGTCATACCTAATTGAAAGCGTCAGCACGCTAAGTGGGCAACATGGTAATTATATCGCAAATGTACTCTGATGTTCTAGCATCTTCATCATTTTCAAGATCACTGTCTGCGCCATCACTCCCATCATCCCCCTCGCTAAGTCTTTCTTTCTATATCACTCTGTCTATGATGAGACTCTGGTCAAACTTGCTCTGGAAATCAAGGCTCTTTTGTACAAGATGGTTTGACTGTGTGAGTCTCAGGCACTGGCTGGCACTGAGGGCTAGCAGCCACAGAAAATGACGTCACATGCCTGAAAAAGAAAACAAAGCCACGGGGATTAAGGGTACCTCGTCTCTCCTCCACAGCCCAGATGACGATTATCCCGCCGTCTCTGACAATAGCGACAGTTAGCATATAGGCTAGCACTTACACATAGCACTCAATTAATGAAGTTCCCAAACAGACTGATTAACAAGCACTAAAATGTGCACAAGCTTAATTGACATTTTAGCAGTAGACCATTTCAGTTGGCATTGCTGCTAGAATTCTACAAAACAACTTCACCTTCTGAACATAACACTCCTTGGCTTGAGTGTGATTCTTTCAAGATTTTTTGACACACTTTTCCACAAACCAAATCCAAAACACAGCAAAAGTCACATAATTACTTTCAAACCCTTACTAATATTTGCTTATTCGGTAGCAATAAAGGCTAACTCATTAACCTCAAAAGTGTCAGCACTCCCTTACAAAAAAGTACTATATGGTGGCAGTACAGTGAGTTGAGGGTACTTTGATATATATCAGGGTATTTACATGGTACTATGAGCATAAGGTACTTCAAAGCTCAAAGACATGGTATTAACATGGTAAATTGTTGTTAAATCTGTCTAAATAGTGTTTTACACAAACTAAAGTATACTAAACACACCACCCCTTATGAAAAGCTTCAAATCTTAAAAGTATATATTTTTAAAAAACTGTATTTGCAGATAATATAATATTAATTAAAGAAATATTACACTTTATAATAATGTCAAATTAAAAGATTTACTTTAAAGTACATTTTTGTTGATGTTTTAACAATCTTTTATTATGCTTTAAAGAAGTACACTTATTTGATGTGTTGACTAACAAGCTAAAGCACATGTAAAGTACTTGATTTTGATTTGAACAATAGTCTGTTATTCGATACAGTTAAATTACATATAAAGATGTACATAATTATGAAATCACATAGATGTATGCAAGTCGTACATAAACATGTCAAAAAAGGACTCAACTAATTGCATTTAATAAAAGTATAAATTAATTTTAATATAAAATGCATTCATTTAATTGCAAATAACATGCAATTAAGTACTGTTTTTAAAAGTGTGCTAAACTGGATGAACTAAGCTAAGCAACACTAAGATCATCACAAATAAAAATGTGAATAAGGTTGAAGGAATGGAGAAAAAAAATAATAATAAATATGCAGAAAACTAATTTCTACCCCTAGATAAGTAATATTGCAGCTTTTCATCTTTTGGCCACAAAGCTTAGGTTTTAAGCAGATTACACAGCTGAGAAATCAGTAATGTTGATAATGTGTGGGGGCAGGGCCACATGGCTCTCTGGGTATTAAACACTGAAAACTGCAATCATGGTGCTGGATTAGGAGTAAGCTTTAAAATTGTGCTACATTCTGCTGAAAGGGACAGAGAGGCTGGATGGGGATCAGTGACTTGGACAGAGAAAAGTCAGAATGTACACACACACAGGAAACCTGAAAGGAAGAGCGCTGGCCAATTATAAAGAAAAAAGGATGATGCAACTCTCTGGACTCGTATCTGAAAATGCTGTGAGAAAAATCAAGCGAGACTTGTGTGTTAAAATGTGACTTTTGGTGCTGTTTTTTCATGCAAATGATTGGAACATAAGTCTTTGATTTGAAGTTTTATTAGTAATTAAAGGGATAGTTCACACACACACGCCAAAAAAATTCTGTCATAATTTTTTGAGGAATGTTAAGAAACTGTTTTTTCCAGTGTCCGTGGATTCTAAAACAGTGTTGGACCCCATTGACATACTTTGTGTGGATTTTTTCTTCTTTTTGTGTCACAGAAAATAGAAAGTCATACAGGTTTGGAATGAGAAAAGGGTGAGTATGTGACCAAATTTTCTAATTGTCCATTTAAGAAGCTGATACTTAACTGTAACAACCCGAATTTGCATGCTAGTTAATAAAAATGACAACATATAAACTACATTTAACTTTATAATTTAAAGGGGCAGTTCACTGGAAAAAAATGTTTAATTCTGTACATAACATTTCAAACCTGAATTATTTTCTTTCTTCTGTGGAAATTTTCAATTGTTTTTGTCCACACAGTTATATCACTGGGGTCCAAAACAACATTAGACCCTATTGACTTTCTTTGTATGGACAAAAATATTTTGGAAAACATTTTGTTTTGTATTACTCAGAAGAAAGTACATCATACAGGTTTGGAACAACATGAGAGTGAATAAATGATGACAGAATTTTCCTTTTTGGGTGAACTTTCCTTAAGTAGTGGCCACTTACCTGTAACATCCAGTTTATGTTCTGAAATTGCACAAATTTGCATGCTAGTTAATAAAACCACAACATATAAACTACATTTAACCTAACAGTCTCTTGTGGCATCTTCAAGATGGAACAGTGTACTTAACAGATGCAAGGTCATTGTAAAATATGGCTGTTTCCCAATAAATGCTGCAGAAGCTATATTTAGAGCGAAGACAACTAATAAAATACGTTCTGCAGAAATAATGGATGTTTCTGGCCAGCGCTGCTTTGTCCAAAATGAAATGCCATCTCAGCTTCTATCACAGACGATATGTTCAGAGATATGATGTGCTTCTTTAAACAGTTTAGTGATTTATACAGGATATCCAGGACACTTCTCCCCAAACCAACTAAACAGTTCCCTCTTTCCCCACCGTGAGAGCAGCACAGCAGGTGGATCTTTTGACTCGCACCCAAGGAAAAGCTCAAGCTGATTTCCATACAGATGCCCCCTTCACTGGAGAGGAAGAACCCCCCATTAAGCACTCAAACAACCTAGCACAGCTCCGGCAACTATTCCCGTACGTTCCTCTCCCTTAATTCAGTAGCCATCGCAACCCCCCCGCTCTAGATGTTGGAGCACTCAAGGTTGCCAAAACCAATGAAAGGGGGGTGGGTAGGAGGTGTCTTACATTTGGCATCTGCCATGGCTGGCCATCACTCTGTGCTAAACATCCAAAGGGGAATGGGACAGAGGTGCCCTGTTGGACGTGCCAGCGATGGGAGGATGAGCAAATAGTACAAAGCCCTTTTAAGAAAGAGTCCAGAAGACCCCCGCCATTTCTCGTTTCCTCTGTGTCACCCATCCCTAAAAACATCTGAAAGAATTCCAACACACACGGATACAAAACATGCCTCTTTTTCTCTCTAAATATAAACATTACTAGAAAGGAACCATTCAAACATGGTATTGGCATTTATTTAAGCTCTGAACTCCATACTTGCTCCTATGTGAGTCTCTTGACACTTTGTCCCCACTTGATCTGGCACTCTTTATTAGGGCTGCACGATATTGGAAAAAACTCACATTATATATTGCGATATGAAAAAAAAATCACCACATGACTTGAATAGTTTATTTGGGAGAAAAAAAATAATCAATGATTGGGGTGATTTTGTAGTAGAGTAAATCAGCATAGGAAATAAACAGATTACAAGCATAGATAAATAGAACAGAACAAAGATATAAATGAAATAAGCAGTGCTTTATATTTTTCAGGATAAATCTAACAGTATGTTTTGTTGTTTGATTAACATTCATAACACAGAAAGCCTCAGGAACATTAAACTGCTGTGAACCAATATACTGTTACACATCCATTTTCTTACTCAATTGTTTCCCTTCACCTAAGCCATAAGCATCTGTGTTTACAAGGATACATGCAGAGCACAGTATTTCAGGCACAAATAGACGCAGAAGTGAACAGAATTCAGTGTTCACGTGCATCTGCGTGGCTCTCACCGTGTCTACACCGGACGCGAGCGGCGCGACACGACACGACAAAATACAATAGAACCCATTATAATCAGTGATGCTGTGTGACTGACTACACTAGATGCGGCGTGACACGACAAATCCCTGACAGTAAACTGATGCCGCGTTTTCTTTATGATATACTGACACAAAGTTCAAATGATTGGCAACGGTTGCTTTGTCGCGTGTCCAGTGTACAGACTTTGGGGCCATTCACATGTCGCGCCCTAAAAATGTGTGGAAAACGCCAGCCGCGCCGCTTTCTTCTTCTTTCCAAAGCGCTTGGGAGCTTGCGCTTTCGTGGCATCTGCCATTGCTAAGCAACCGTGACCTGCGCTCTCCACAACGACACGGAAGTTTCAACAAAGGATAAACGGATTTCCAGCACTGAAAATTGCTTGCAGTAGCTCTACTACTAAATGCATTTAAAATGGGAATCTCTGTACAGTTGTCGCATCCGGTGTAGACACCGTGTCTGTGTGTGAACAATGAAAATGATCAGTATAAATATAACGATAGTTATAGTTATAGGTGAGGTACCTTTGGGTTAATTAAGTTATAAAGTAATCCAGGTGTTTTAAAATGTGTGCTGTTTAATGACTGGATGGTGGTGCAGTAAACGAGGAGGTTGATGAGGGTTCCCTTCAAAGCATTCTGGAATTAGCAGACTTACCCGGGTAGAAGTCTTTGGATTTGGACAGCTTGATGGTGGCCCCTGTCTCTTTCTGTAGCTGGACAATAGTCTGACCACCCTTGCCAATTATGGAGCCTGCGGCGTAGCTTGGAATCAGCACTTTTAAGAAATATTCGCCTTCCTCTGGAAACAGAAAAAGAGAAAAAAAATTAACTCTGCAATATATTTACTAAGTTTTTTTATATAATCTGACACATACAGTACAATCATATATAATAAATATAAAATAAATAATAAATATATACACAACAGATTTAAAAAAGAAATACAATAATTTTCTGTAATCTAACACGTAGAACAATTATTTAAATAAATAGATATTTGCAATAGATTTAAGCATTTTTGTAATCTGATGTTTAAAATAATAACTATTGTTGTTGTAATTATAATAAAATATTTGCAATAGATTTATACATTTTTCTGTTTTCTGACATTTACGTTTATTTTATGCATTTACACTTACACTTAAATGCATAAAACTATTTTTGTAGGCATACATAAATTACTAAAATAACTACAATTTTAATTAAATTTTTTAATGGATGCATTTGAGCAGGGAGAGTGAAGGAAAAGCAGCCAAAAAGTGTGCAGGATACATGGGAACTTCTTAAATAATATATACAGTTTAAAAAGCATCCCAGGTGGCACCTCATGAAGCTGGTTGAATGCCCTGGTTGAGTGTAATCTAGCAAAGGGTGGCTAATTTAAAGAAGCTAAAATATAAAATAGTTTAGATTTTTTGGCCACTAAATAAGTCACATACTTCAATTTGTGCTACATCACAGGTTTTATGGTTTATTATTATTATGAAATGTAGAATAAAGTAATAAAGATTGAGGAGGTGTGTCCAAACTTTAAATGGTAGCGGATATAAAATCTAGCTGCACAATGCATAGATTCACATCTTAAACATACTTATGAGAGAAAACGTAGATATTGTCTAAGAGGCAATCAGAGAAGGCAGCTATAAATAAAAGTCAAGCTGAAATACTAGACCAACAAAGAACTACAAGACCACTATAATAAGATCAGTGGACTTAACGAGTTGTAATTAACGCTGAACCACAAGTATTAATGCTTAAGTTAAGGAGGGCCGATAACAGTCAAACTCTAGCTTAGGTTAGTGGGACAAGATATGTAAGCAGGAAAGATATGGGATGAGGGTACATTTTGTTAAACACGTCAATCAAAGTAAGTGCAAGAGAAGGTGAATTTGAAAAGACGTATTATGAGACTCAGTTTCAGTGTAACTGGAAAAGCTAGACATTGTAATGTATAGAAGTAGCAATTAAATAGCAAGGTGCATATAATATAGCGCAAGACATCCTGATTTCACTTCCCTCTTGAGAAAGGTCAGCAGAGGTTTTCCTGAAAGTAGAACAGCAGTGAGGCAGTAAAGTGCCTCATCTATTGCCGGGCTCTACCTGGCTGCTGCATATCCAGGTCAGCAGAAGCACAGTACATGGTCCCTTCACCGTGACTTTAACATGACATTGTATCCTTCTGCCTGTGCCGCTTGGGTATGCCCTTAATATTCCACCACAATTAATCTGTGTCGGCTCCCAGAAGACGGCCGCTTTAGATTAGATTGTTATTCTGGAGAAGCAGTTTATCTTGTCAAGCTAGGCTAAGCTACATGCACTTGCAGCCTAACACTGATGACTGGCTAAAAATGAAAGAGACTACTGGACAGACTATTAATGTCTGAGTGCAGCTGGAAAAACAAATGGACTAACAATGGCAACGACGACAATGTTTTGGTCGAAGGCCCGAATTAACTGCATCAGTGAAAAAGTAATGACACATGTCTGTAGTTATGTGTGAACCAAATTAAGAGAAGTGTTAGTGTTCTGCTAACAAGATGGACGTGACAGATCAGATTGTTTTGAGCAGGAAAACATAGAGAGGGTTAGTATTACTACAGCAGATTTGTTTTAAGGTTCAACTAAAAATAAAAATTAATTATTCACTCACCTTACAGCATTTAAAAACTGGATTTTTTTGGTCTTTTGTGGAGCACAAAAGGAATAAATTTGAATAATGAACTAATCTGTCTTTTTATTTACAATGAATGGGAACTGGAGCTTTCAAGCTTGAAAAATAAGAGCAGTCATGTTTGTGTGGGGAATTGACCAAAGTCTAACTCGTAATTTTCTAACAACTGTTCCCTTTCAGTCCATCACTCTCGACGTGACGTCTCCGTTCCCTCCTTCAGGGAACGGGGGTTACCATGCGTAACCGAGACGTTCCCTTTCAGTCGGTCACTCTCGACGTCACGTCGCATGTTTTATCTCTAAGCGAGATCCCAGTTCGTCGGTCATCCGACGTGACGTCTCTGTTCCCTCCTTCAGGGAACGAGGGTTACCATACGTAACCAAGATGTTGTCTTCAGTGAGCTAGTAACTGTTGAGAGCATGGGTTCAGTGAGTTGAATTTGTGAGTCTGATTTGTGAATGAATCATTCACACTGGTTTTGTGACATGGATAAGCTGATTCATTGAAAAGGTCTGACTTAACAAAATGATTCTTCATGATTCAGCCATAATTTAAACATGCAAATGTCAAACACACATAAACATTTTGCATATTCAATGCATATTGACTTTTTTTTCTTTCTTTCTTCTGTTGAACATAAAATAAGTGGGGGGTTTTTTATATTTTATTGGCCGATTCTGATTACGATTACCGATTTTTTTTGTAAGTGTGACCTGCCGATACTGATTTTTGCCTACAGTATTCCGATTTTCTATCTCAGAACTATAATTGAAAGCATAGCATATACAAACAAAAATCTACTTTTTTCAATGCAAAAAAATTATTTACATAATAAAAGAAATTAAGCAAACACAGAAGCTGCATCTGAAGTGGCATTAGATGTATTTACACAAACTGTTTGATGAAGCTGAGGTGCCATTAAAGCATTTACACCGCAAAATTGCAAATGCATAATTCATTTTATACGATTAATGTTTTAAATAATTTTTTGCACATACAAATAAGGAATGTTGGGAAAAATGCAATGATACTTTTAAATATGAAACCAAACCACCAGTAGGTGGCGACAAATGTGTCAAGTGGAAACTTTACTGTGTGTTGCTAGGAGACACACAACAGTTCTGCTGTGGCTTTGATTGGAACTGTTTTCGTTTGTGAAATCGTGCAAAAACAGTCAATATTGTGTCTAAAATGTAAGTCACTTAATTTTAACTTCTTGTTTATTGAACTACTATTGTATAAAATAAGTGTAACATTGCAATCGTGTTGATATTCGGGGAAACATCTTGGTCGTGTAATGTTGCTAACCTATATTATATATATATTATAAATATCTTTTTTTTTCTACCGCAGTATGCATCTATAACTTTCTGTGTGTGCTGTTGCACTCATTTGTTCTGATTTCTGCATGAGTCTCTCTCTCACTCAGACAGGCTGCGCGAGCCTCATCTGGCACGACATAAATCCATCATCAGTCGCTGTTTACACTGAATGCAATAAAATCACAACCATTCTCAAGCGAAAATTTTTGGTGGCCAAGTTTCAGTTCTTCCCAAGTTATTTTTGGTATTGACATTTTAATCAGGCTTCTTGTCTGGTCGGGCAAGTAAAATTCTCTCTCACTTGCCTTTAGAAAATCTACCTGTCCCAGACAAGCTTTAATTGAGCCCTGTTGTTTCCCCACGGTTTACTTTGGCCCTACACGTATTACAAATTGCGAACTTTGTGTCTTCTTCACTCACAGTGAAGAACTTATCTACTAAAATATATTTAAAATATATTCTTTTATGTTTAACAGACGAAAATAAAAATTCATACAGGTTTGAAACAACTTGAGAGTGAGTAAATTATGAAGTTTTTTTTTTTTGAGTGAGCTAACAGTAAGGATTGGGATGATTTTAACAACGTTTAAGTCTTCTTGAGGTAATCTCATTAGAATCACAGGCCAGCCCAGTTGATCTGGATGTGTAATGAAGCGTATCTCTAACTAAACAAGTATAGTCTCATATTTAGCCACACTATTTGTACTGGATGCCACCAGATTATGAATTGCATAAACAACAAGGGAATAATGGAGGTTACTGTGACATAAATAAATGTACTCAGAACTGGGTTCGCAGACACCTCTAAATGACAATTCCTGATTTTTCACTCACATACTAAAAACTGCCATTGTTTTCACACATCATAAACAGGCGGTTCAAACAGTGTCTACAGAACACTGCAGATACATGCTTTTCTGCAATGACCCAGATTTCTCACAGAGCTAAGACTGTCCTCCTTTTGATTTGGATGAGTCTAAATTTAACTTTGATTAATATGGCGCAGGATTCATAAATAATGTGTATCATGCATACATAAGTATTCTCTCTTCAAAAGCATCTAACAAAAGTCTGTCATAAATTGGACCAAGAGGCTGAGTCCAGACTGGCTATAACTGACATTATCTACTCTAATTAATGTAATACATTAGACACATGATATTATATTGAGCGTGTCATATTTTCATAACAATATTAGGCTGTTTTAAAGGTTACATATTTTACTTTGTTTATAATCAGCAGCAAAATATTACAAAGCATTATGGTGGTTATGCAGTAAAAAGAAAGAAACAAACTGAAAGGAAATGAAGGTAGACTCTGGTTTGCCGATAACAAAATCTGTATGTCATTTTTACAGAAAATTAAACAAATTACCGTGAAATCCGACAAAATCTGATGAAAATGGTGGATCATGGATGGCTGGTTGGTTGCATCTCTCTAAAAGAATGTGAATGAGAAAATTAATCTTTGTGGAAATGACAGATAGAAAAACAAAACAAGGTGAAGTACAGAACAATGACAGAGTCTACCTTTAAACCTCCTACTCTAATCAAGAACATACCTGTGAATGTTGACGTTATGGATAAAGATACAGGATGAAGTAATAATGAACTTTATAGTATTGAGATTTCGGTTTCCAATCATTTTCACTATTATTTTAAATCTATCATGGCCTGATGACAATGTCCTTGAATAATACATTCAGTGAATTAAAAGATTATTCCAGGTTCGATACAAGTTAAACTCAATTGACAGCACTTGTGGCATAATGTTGATCCCCCCTAAAAAATTATTTGTACTTATTCTCCTTTAAACCTCCTACTCTAATCAAGAACATACCTGTGAATGTTGACGTTATGGATAAAGATACAGGATGAAGTAATAATGAACTTTATAGTATTGAGATTTCGGTTTCCAATCATTTTCACTATTATTTTAAATCAATCATGGCCTGATGACAATGTCCTTGAATAATACATTCAGTGAATTAAAAGATTATTCCAGGTTCGATACAAGTTAAACTCAATTGACAGCACTTGTGGCATAAAGTTGATCCCCCCTAAAAAATTATTTGTACTTATTCTTCATTTTCTTTAAACAAAGCACACGCTTGAGGTATTCGGCCAATCACAACGCACTGGATAGCTGGCCAATCAGAGCACACCTGGCTTTTCAGACCGATGAGCTTTGTAAAAATCGACGCGTTTCTGAAAGGCGGGGCATAGAGGAGAAACAATAATGTACAGTATGTGCTAAATAATGTGTTTTTTGAACCTTAAACCACATAAACACATTTCATTACACCAAATACACAAAATACTGTTCTTTTTAGCAACATCATATGACCCCTTTAACTGGTTCTGAACCCAGAATATTCCTTTATAATAAGCCTACAGTAAACCAAAATCTGTTTAGTTTTAAAAGACATTCTCAGTTTCTTCTTTTCTAAAACATGGAGCATCTACTACCCAAGTTTGAGTTGGATCAAGCCTATTTCCTGTCACTTGTCAATACAAAGCTCTGGCTGAGAAAAATCAGTGGACTACACTACACGCATATCCGTAACAGTGCCTTTGAGGGAAATGAGTCCCTCCCATTGTGCTACACCGGGAACAAAACAAGAACAAGTTGGTATGCTGTTATTCTTCCCTCCAGCCTACTTAATATCTTAATAAGCCTTGTCTTGTGTGAACATCTATATGACTGCATGCTTCACACTCTCTGAGAAGTCAGAATAATTAATAAAAAAGCCCAAATGGGCATTACTCATAATAAACCAGTAGGTGTAAACACAAATCATTGGTTGCTAGAGGCTCCCAAGAGAGCCGTGGTTCAGAACAAGCTACATCAGCTTGACGATTGAAGGTTCCTGTGGGCTTATGTTGGGGGCCTTAAACATGCACAAAGCAATAAAGCTACGAACAATTTTTTTCTTCTTTCTTGTTTGCATTGTAGATTTATATCACATTAGATTTCAGATTCATAATTTGGTTACATAGCATTTGTGCTTAAGTACAACAAACATACATCTAATTTTAACGGAGTGATGAAAGGACCACTTTCCCTGCGCGGCTGTCCAAGCAGCTGCCTGACCAAAATGGCTTCCGATATAAACACTGCACTCGGACTAAAACATACTACTCAGTTTCTGCTGCACGTGAGAGAAAGCAGCATGCTTTGTTCTAACATGCGCAAAAGCTCGAGGAGAAGCTTTCGCATTGCTTCTTTCATTCATCTCATCCATATTCATCTCAGGTCCCATCCTCCATTCCACGGCAGACGAGCCGAGAGAGGCGAGCAAATCATCCAATGTGGGGCCGCCTTTTACAACGCCCTCCCAAACCCTCGCCATCCTGCATGAGATTTTTTTTTCTTTGACGCAGTGCATTAAAGAAAAAAATGAAGCAGCGCCCTCTTCGTGATCGTACGGTGATCAATAGGCAGAGGGTTGCATGGATAATCAATGACTTGCCGCTACTGATGGGAAATGAGAGAGATGGACTCGGGGAGGAAGAAGTAATGATCGTCCCAACCCAGAACCGTGATTAGAGGCGGAACAAACAAACGATGGGGGAGCAGAACGCAGTGCACCCTAAATGTATTTCTGCTGAGCCTATCAAAAACAGCCATAGCAAAAACCTGTGCGCTTAATCTGAAAACCAGTGGGAGTAAATGCATTGTAGGATGTGAGTGAATGAGGTGGGCGACAGCGACGAATCGGTTATTGGTCCCCCTTATAAATGTCTGAGGGGGTGGAGGTGAATCTTCAAACACAGCTTGCAAATCATGTTTATGTAATAACCCCTTCTAAAACAGATCCCACATCTATTTTCTAATCCTGCGGGCAGAAATGCACAAGCAAAAGAATCTAAAAAAGAGGCTAGTCGCAAATTCAGTGCCAAGCAGCATCCAAAAATGTCTTTATATAGTAAAAACAACACAGGATCGTACACACACACACACTTCCATGCTTTCTTACAGCCTTAGAGGGTCACAGTCCCCTCACGCCGTCCAGCTAGGACATCTGTATCCCCTGAAACAACCTTTTGTAAATGGAAGCACTGTACTGTGCCAGTCCATCCATTTACAAAATTAAAACATTACATCTTATGAGACAGCTCGGGAACGTGGAGAGAGGCTCTTTGGTGAACTTGAAGTCGAAGCTTTAACGATCAATTGGCAGGAAAATGATTCTTGGTTTTAAGCCAACTGACTTTCATCTTAATGCCTATAACTTTTGTTTTTCAGGCAACCTTTAAAATGCAATAATTTGTCATCCACATCATAATTAAATCCAATAAATAAAGAGTTAAAACAATACGCAAGTCACACAAAATATGATACTAATCCTACAAGTATGTAAACACCATATCAAAGACAGTAAATGTTATAAGAAAACAAAATAGACATAATACTGTCATAGGACTGGATCCTTATTTTCAACTCAAAAGCGGTCCAAAAAAACTACATAAATGGTTCAGATTCACACTAACTTGGCCGATGATCTGCCTGTGTAACGTCTTGTGTTTAAATATAAACCACAAAGCGGAAACTATGAATACATGGTGACTTTAAACAGATTCAACCAGATTATATTAATTTTTTTTTTTAATTCAGCATTTCTATTTTATAATTTTAAATTTTCATTTAAGTTAATAAATACGGATGAATTAATATAATTATAGATGCTTAATAATTAGAGCAACAGTGTCATATTAATTCATCCTTCTACACTATTGTAATTATATGTGATACCATATAAATACTCTATTTTAAACCAATTGGAATAAATTAATTATTTAAATAGAATCAAGGCTCCTACAGCTTTTGGCCAGTGAATTTTCATGATTTTTAAACTACTTAACTGGCTAAGGGTTTCAATTATTTTATAGAGATTGCATGCACAAAGAGCAATTATATAGTTATATCATTCAATACCTAAACATAACAAAAAAAATGTTATATTACCAGTAGAATTGTCCATTATCTTTCCATGACATTTCAAGATTTTACAAATTTCTTTGACAGTTTCAGGCTTGGAAATTACAATATTAAAATATCCAGATTCCCTGCCATAACTGTGGAAACCCTATAGAATAATTCCTCTTGGCAAATAAATTCCAGTGAAGCCCAGATCTCTTAAGCATTAAAGTCTTTTCATTTGAGCAAATGGATCTGCAGGTTATGCCTCCCACGAGTCCAGCAAGCTTCTTCTGACTGACAATTCATAATGCTTTCTGCATCGATTCTTTCACATGTAAACATCCGCCAATCGCTTCATTTATGCGCCATGATTAACCCTTTAACTGTAACTACAAATACTTATTTTACTGAAAAACGCTTTAACAGGTTAAATAAATTGTTCTTGCACTTTTTTTACTGAAAACAAATAGCCTATTGACAGCCGATATATTATCTAGGCTAATATTGCTAATATTAAGATGCTTTATATCTTATTCTCTCCCTTTAATATGCAGTTCATAAAGACCCAAATAAGATGGCTTTCTGCTTAATGACACTAAAGGTGGGGATTTAACCATCACAGATCAGAAAAACAATGTTTTAAACTGTTAACTTGCTACCAAACTAAGATCTACCAATTGGCAAAAAAAAAACGCGTAGGGTTAAGAAATACATGCATATTTAGTTTTTTAACCTATTAATTAGATGATTAGCCTAACAGTTTATCAGACAAGTGTACACAAGACTTCTTATGGCATCTGCCGGAATGCATAATTAACAAGCAAGCATGGGTCCAGTTCAAACAATAGACTACAGTAAAATACTGTAGGCTCTAGTGCACTTCAGAGTGCTGAAATGTCGAATATCAGTGATGCATGTGAAGCATACAAATGTATACACACATTTCAGGCTTTTACTCTTAATTTTGAGCACCATATTATAGGCCTATTAAATATTTAAGTGCAAGTGGTATAATAAATCTTACCACCATAGACATCTCATAAAAATATTATAATCGTTTATCATTCAAAACTGGAGTTTTCAGGGCCAAAATTCTAAATAAAAGATTATAGATTCAAGGAACAAGATCATAACGCAAGGTCATCTGCGGTGATAGCAAGGATGCGTAAACGCACGAGCCATGTTTACTAATGTTTGGGTACGTGCTCATGATATTAGTCTATATTTAGGAATGTACATCCAATTGATCCCATAGCCTACATAATCCTTTGATTTAGGAATACTGAGGATGTGTTTGGTAAACGACTGTCGTAGGTGCGTAAAACCATTCTGGGCCACTTAAAATGGACGCGAACTGTAAATATGAATATAATCCCAGGTGCACATGTCTGGTGAAGCATGACCGCGTCAGATGGCGAGATGCTCCGTGGAAAGCGAAAATCAGCCTGCCATGAACTATTATACTTTCATGGATTTACATCAGAGCACTTGTCTTTGGGAAGCGTCGCTAATTCATTGCCAAGTGAGTTGCCTATCTAGTAGATAACATTTGTGTCCTACCTCCTGTGTTTGTGCGCTTGGTGCTGCTGGCCTCCGTCGGGGTCTCCAGGGGTCTTTTGCGGGAATCGGGGGGATCAGACTCCATGTGCGGCTGTTGATTGTGATGATGCGGATTGGAGAAAATCCCGTTTTGCTGCACTGCCCCACCGGCCATCATTTTTTATAAAGAAGCTTTAGGCTCGATCTTGTTTTCCCTACACGCGATACGCAAATATGTTGTTTCTAAATGTGAAACCACGATGATATGAATGTTTGGGGTGCGTCGATCCTCCGTAGCAGCCTAGATACGGATTGAAAGGCGCATCGATATCCAGTGGCTCAGGCTGTACTGATATTAATAACAAGTGATGTGGGAAACGTCCTCACTCGTGGCTCTGCGATGGCGCTCTCCTGCTGAAAACAATATATGACCTCAGTGGTCGGCACAACTCAAAAGATTCACTGCTAAAAACTGGGAAGATGCGCGCGGATAATAAATAGCAACGGGAAATGTACAAGAGGCGAAAGAAAAAACAGCGGATCCCGCATGCAGGTGGACAAACCATGCAGATAGAGCTGGATGGCGTTGAAGCGCTGGATGAGCGCTTGAAGGAGATGCGATGTTTTAGTAGGCTCTGACTCGGAGATGCTACAGTCTTGCTTTCAGAGCATCTTTGCGCGTTTCTGCTGGAGCTCAAAGCAGCGGGTGACGTCATGTGGAGCCGAGACCGCGGCTGTCAAATGTGAAGAAACAGACACGCCCACCTCGAGCTGTGATTGGTCGAGATTTGATTTTCTCCGGCAAAGCGAAGTATAAATCCTGCTTGTCACATGACAATACAGGAGGAGGTGGCGGTGATGAAAATGCGAGAGCATCCTTGTACAATAGGAGCAAGGATGTAAAAATATATATATATATTTTATTCTAAATGCGCAGCTCGTCTCTGTCTAATCCACGAGAATTCTACCACAGTAAATTATTATTGTTGTTATTGTTATTATTAGGCAATAATAATTATAATATTATTATAATGATTGTTATTATTATGTGATTTGTACTTTTATTCATTAATTGTTGTGGTTTAATTTTGTCATTTTGTTATTAGTAGTAGTAATAGTAGTATTTATTTATTTATTTCATGTTTATGCAATTTTATTATTAATGAATAATAATAATAATAATAATAAATACAATTATATATCAAATTAAAAAGTAATATTTAATTTACATATTTTTTTATTATTGTTAGTAGTAGTATTGGTATTATTACATTTAACTATTATTATTATTATTATTAATGCAATAATATGAATAAATTAAACTGCATAAATTAAACAATGATACATTCATGTATTTTTATTATTATCACATTTAACTATTTATTATTAGTAGTATTATGTCATTTGTAATTGTTTTATTATTTAATAATAATACTACTAAATTACATACAAAATTAAACAATAATATTTCTGTAATTCTATTTTTTTTATTATTATAAGTAGTAGTAGCATAACATTTAACTATTTGATTTATTATTATTAATAACAGTATTTGAACTTGAAAACTCTGTATTTAAATTGCTGATAAAAATAATTTTAACTCACTTTTTAAAAATACTTTAAAATCAAATATAAATTAATGGATGTTAAATGGATGAAGGCAAAGATGTTGTTCAAAAAAACTTAAACACATTGTTTAACTGTATAGTGTCCTCAGTACCCAGTAAGACTCTCTGTATCCTCTTGTCACACACACTCACACTCCTCCTGTGTCAACACGGGGCTGAGGCGAGCACTTCTCTTATTCCAGATTCGCAACAAGGTGATGCTGCGTTGTCTACTGCATGCACACAAAGAGCCACCTCACACAATTTCACATTTCTGTGGAAAAACTCAGCAGTGCGCCAGTGTCATCCGAAATACATAGGCCTATGCTCAGTTTGAGTGGAGCAAACCGATACTGAGACATGTGGCTCCTATTTACTGGGGGAAAATTGAGCAAAATTAGTGACTATAAAACAATTGTTTTCTTTTGAGTTCGGCCATCCATGAAATGCAATCAATGTGAAACAATCAAACTCAGTTGCTTTGTTTATTCTACCAGTCGCATTCTAGAAAAGCTCATTACTCGTGAAATAAAATGGGTGATTATTTTATTTAGATCACAAAAGCTTCAGTAATGTGAGAATTATGATACATGATGCTATTGCTTAAAAATGGAGTGCACTTCCATGGATCCGCAATCAAATACAGGCCTGATAGGGTGGGATTGGGGAAACAGTCAGACTAGAATTATTTAGCATGTTCACATACAATGTATATTTTTTTTATCCGGTGTTTATCAGTGTTACATTTAACCGTGGATAAAAAATAACCTCAGAGTATCCTTATATGAAGCTGCATAAACTGAATAAAAGAGAAATATTTAGTTTATTCTACACTCATTCTTGCATCAAAAAAGAAAAAAAAAATATTTTTTCTTTTTAATATTTAATTTATTATTATATTTAATACTTTTTTTTTATATATAAAAAAATTCTGTGTAGAATAAGTATATATGTTTTGCCTATGTACACTCATATGCACCATATATATGCACTCAATCTTCATTAGTCCATATTTACATACCATGAAAACTTGTAGCAAAACAAAAATCAGGTTCTGTTGGCAACGCATTGCACGCAAATGTTAATTTCGGACAGATGGCAGTGGCTAAAGCTCTCCATTCCTGCAATATGGGTTTATGAGCTTTCACATAAACCCGTGCAGTTTTCCCCCCTCTGTCACACTGGTGAAAGGGTGATATCTCGTCAAAGATGACTTTCAATGCATAACACCCTCCCCCACGCTACACACATTGTTTGAAGAGGGGACCCCATCTGCCCCCTTCTCCATAAGAGCACCCGCACTATTGTTTCTGCAACTAACACAGAAAAACCTTAAGAATTGGCCGGACTGGGCAACATCTGGCATTGAATTCCACATTTATTTATGAGCAACAACATGGCACTATGCAGGTTTAAAAGGAGACAAGGGTATTTGATTATTCATCTGGCAAAAAGCTTGCTTTTTTTAAATCATTATCAAGTTGTTTTTACAAATAAACAACTACTAATAAACCCAATGAGGATACTGAGTTACTCCCTAACCTTTGTTAAAATTTGCCTCAGAGAGAATAATAAATATGGAATTATTTATTTCCTAGGTGAATTTCAAACCATGTCTCAAACAATATTTGTCTCAAACAATATAAGTCATTGTTGGATATTAAATCAAATGCTATTTAAATTCATTTTCATTCCATAACTTATCTTTACAAATCGTTTGTATTTCAGTTATCATGCATACACAGTATTTTGATATGCGAGATGGATCTTTCTCCAGTTCGTAGCATTAAACATCAGAACAGCAAGGCCAAAATCCACTATAAGAAACAAAAGACATAAACAAGAGTCTCCATCTTGTGGATGAATTATGGAAGCAGTCGAAGAGACGGAGAAGAGCTGCTTTGTCTGGTGTTACCTGCCAAAAATTACAATTGCAAAAAAGCTGCAGAAATTACAAACACAATAACTTTAAATACACATCTAACAATTGATCTTTATATAAATATTTTTATTCAGTCCTCAAAGCTCAGATGCATCAAAGCACATTTTGATGCATCTTTATGAACTACAACACAACTACACTGTTAAAATATAGGCTAGCAGTTATATTGTTACATATCTTGTTACATAGCAGAAATCATTAGCAGCATGCGCACTATAAAAAAAGTGTTCTTGGAGTTAATAATAAAAACTATTAATAGCTAAACGTTGTATTCATTCAAGGCAAAGCAGCTGTGGAGGTTATGCAAGGTTGCTGTCCTCTTGTGGCAAAACGGTAGTCACATTTCATCTTTCAAGTGACATACAGCCACCAGACGGCAGCAGTCTCACAACATTTCTTTTTTGTGTGGGAACAACAATTTGTTGAAACTTCATTCCCTTCTTTTTATGATGGTAAAGCTAGTTAATTTTGACTGCGATGTGGAAATATTACATGCATATTCAGCAATAACAAAAAAAGTCCCCTTTTCAGGATACTGTAATTTAAAGATAAAGTATCCAAAATCCATATGCTTTACAGATCAGATTTATTGGAAAGGGCTTAAACAATCATTTTACACTTGTTCAATGAACTATAAACAGTTATTGCACACGCACCAGTAGAACCGTCCTTAAGACGTCCTTATGGATTACAGGCGGTAGGCAATTAAGGTCACAGTTAACTGCAATGTCCGTAATGTCCATAACAGTTCTACAGGTAGACGGGAAGGACAGCTGATCATCCTTGCAGTGGTAAACCACCTGTAACCATGTGTCTCCCCAGATGTGTTCAAGAACTTGCAAACGTCTTGGTGGAACAGTGGGGAAACATCCATAGGAGGAGGGTGAACCAACTCCAGGGTAAGGCTAAAAATAGCCTATTGTTAGTGTTGCTTAATCCAGTGGTTCCCAAAGTGGGTGTCGTGACAACTGGCAAGGGGTGCCACAGAATCTTAGATTTTTTCCAATTTAAACAACCTAAAATAACTATCGTAGCCTACCATATAATAATCTTTTACAGTATATATTTTAAAAATAGCCTATATCAAAACACCAACATACGAGTATGTCCAAACGAAAATAAATAAGCAAAAAAACGCTGATATATTTCATACTTAGACTATTTAAAGTTTAAATATGTATTTACCGCCAATTGGACTGTTCTCAGTAGAGAATCGCCCAGTCCGCTCAGCTCCGCCTTTGTACTGGTGCACGCTCAATTTTATATTTCATGCAGTGATTGACAGGACACGAAATTTGTGTTGCTGCGATAGACGGTGTTGACGGTTTTACCAATGTGAAGCCGCAAGTTTCCGCAACACTGGTTATGTCATTGCCCACCGCGGCACCACCCCCACCGTCGTTTTGATTTTTTTATAGTGTAAGGTCCACGCACTTGGCCCAATGAAGGTATCCAGTGGTGGATGAAGGTTTCTTGCATGTTCGGTCTTTTCAGCGCGCAGAGTTATTCACTTTAGGTTTAACTCAAATCTGACTCCATTTTATTATCTAATCTGACTCCATTTTAGTATGACTTCGAATTTAGGTTGAAAGGCAAATTGGTTGTTTGTCTGTCTTTAATTATTGCTATTATTCTGACATTTGGTTATTCTAGTTAACTCTTTACTTTATATTTACTCGTTCATTAGGAATCTATGTCGCTTATGCCGAGTTCACACTGCACGATTTTCAAACTCGTCGTATCGCCGTTGTTTTCACACTGCGTGACTATCTGGGGTAGCAGTCAGTTGCTGCTGTGTTCTCATTGCACGATGGATCGGCGACAGGGGGTTTCACACTGCATGACTTCACTGTCAGGAAGAATCGCCGACAGCTCTGTCTGGTCCGCAAACTACGTTTCACAACAAAACACGCGAGAAGTGATAACGAAATAAC